CCAGTCCCAGTCTCACTGGCGGACCCCTCTGGGGGCCCGGTGGTTGCACGCCACTCCACTGTCCTCCCGTGCCCAGCTGTCCCCTCTGGCTCTCTGTCCGATCTCCACCTCCCCTCGTTCTCGACGAACCTGGTGAGCAACGCCGTCCTTCAGGATGTATGGGTTGACACCTTTACTCCTGGAGGTCAGCGTGTGGCGATCTGCACATGCGCCAAGACAGGCCGTCACCTGGCTACGTTCATACGACAGCCGGGGTCGAACCTGTACACACTCACCACAGCGTCTGCACAGGTAGCTGCGTCTAGTCAGGTGGCTGCGTCCGGTCAGCTCGCTGCGTCCTGCTCGTGTCGCCTCCTCACCCACCCTGCGCCGCTTTGGCACCACCGTCTTGGCCATCCGTCGCAGCTGCGTCTGCGCGGTATGCACTCCCGGCTCCTGGTCTCTGGCCTCCCTGCGACCCTGCCCCCCCTCCCGCGCTCGCTTGTGCCGCCGTGCCTTCCTTGCGTCGAGGGGCGGCAGCGCGCCGCTCCTCACTCCTCCGAGTTTCCTCCGACCACTGCTCCTCTGCAGACTCTCCACCTGGACGTGTGGGGCCCGGCCCCCGTCGGTGGAACGGACCAGGAGCGCTACTTCCTGCTGGTGGTTGACGACTACACACGCTAAACCACAGTCTTCCCCTTGCGGCGCAAGGCAGATGTCAGTGGTGTCTTGATCCCCTGGATCCGTGCTACTCATCACCAGCTGCGCGAGTGGTTTCGGCGGGACTTTCCAGTCCTGCGTCTGCACTCTGACAGGGGTGGTGAGTTCTCCTCTGGCGTCCTTGAGACGTTCTGCCAGGATGAAGGCATCGCCCAGTCGTTCACGCTTCCGGCCTCTCCGCAGCAAAATGGGATCGCTGAGCGTTGCATTGGCCTGATCATGGAGGTTGCTCGTACCTCCATGATCCATGTGGCTGCTCCCCATTTCCAGTGGCCGTTTGCAGTCCGATACGCCACGCATCAGCTCAACCTCTGGCCCCGTGTCCCTGCTCCAGATACCTCGCCCACACTCCGTTGGACGGGACAGCCTGGTGATGCGTCGTCGTTTCGGGTCTGGGGCACGCTCTCCTTTGTTCGCGATACCAAAGTGAGCAAGCTCTCCCCTCGCACTCTCCGCTGTGTCTTCCTGGGCTTCCCCCCCGACGCTCCACCCTTGCAGTTCTACCACCCTGCCTCGCGTCGTGTTCTGTCCTCTCAGGACGTCACCTTCGACGAGTCGGTCTGTTACTACCGACTTCACCTGCACGCGTCCCACCCGGTCCCCCTTGCACCTCTCTTCCTGGTACCAGTCCCCCCCCCGGTAGACCCCCTCCCCCCACAGGGTCTTGCTCCCTCAGGTGTGTCTCAGGTAGACCCACCCCCCGTGGATGAGCCAGTTGAGATCTCTTCTGATTCCTCTGACTCACCTGACGGGGGTGACGCCGTCGCCGACGACAGGGCGACCACTCGTCGCACTCCTCGCTTGGAGACCCCCCCGGGTTTCCCGCCACGGCCGTCTTCGCCGCCTCCGCAGCCTGATGCTGTGGACTCTGGAGCTGAGACTACTGGAGCTGGGGCTGGGGGTGGTGAGTCTGGGGGTGCCCGCTCTCCTCGTCTGGCTACTCCCCCCGGGTTCCCACCTCTGCCGTCTTCGTCGCCTCTGCAGCCTGCTGCTGTGGACACTGGAGCAGAGACTAAGGGTACTGAGCCTGGGGGTGCTGGGACTGAGGGTACTGAGCCTGGGGGTGCTGGGACTGAGGGTACTGAGCCTGGGGGTGCTGGGACTGAGGGTACTAAGCCTGAGGGTGCTGGGACTGAGGGTACTGAGCCTGAGGGTGTTGAGACTGAGGGTACTGAGCCTGAGAGTGCTGGGACTGAGGGTTCTGAGCCTGAGAGTGCTGAGACCGAGAGTTCTGACTCTGGGGGTGCTGCGAGTTCGGGTGCTGACTCTGGGGGTGCTGCGAGTCCTTCTGGAGGACCTGGAGCTGCTGGTGCTGGAGGTGCTGGAGTTGCTAGGGGTACTGGAGCTGCTGGTGCTGCTGGTGCTGGAGGTGCTAGAGGTACTGGAGCTGCTGGTGCTGGAGGTCCTGGAGGTGCTAGAGGTGCTGGAGCTGCTGAGGCTGGAGGTGCTGGAGGTGCTGGAGGTCCTGGTGGAGCTACTGGTGCCCTTCGCCACCTTCTCAGTCTTCAGCCAGGTGCTACTGGCTTCCCTGTGGCAGGTACTACTCCCTTGTTGCTGTGTCCACCGGCGGACCAGTCACAGCCGCCACTGCTACCACACTCCCCACTGCCTGCTCCTGCTCCTTACACTGCGGTGTCAGAGTCCCTGACCCAGCGTCGAGAGCCTGAGACTCGTGCTTCCACCCCTGAGCGTCGAGAGCCTGAGTCTAGCTTTGACCTTGAGCCTGAGCCTAGGGCTGCTGTCCGTGCTCGTGTTTCTCGTACTCATCGTCCGCGTGCTCCGGCTATCCCCGGCACTCATGATATGACACTCCGTCCTTCCTCTGTTCCTCAGCGTGTTGTCCTACCATTACCTCCTGCGTCCTCTCTGCCTTACGTTGCTGACCCTCCGTCTGACCTTGCTCGTGCGTCCAGTCCGACTGTTACTCGCCTTCTTGCTACGGTTGTGACGGACCCTACGTTCTCGTCTCCTGCTACGTCTGCCCTAGTATCTGAGCTCGTTGACTTTGCTGCTGTGTACCGCCTAGACTACCTTGCGAGTCTTGTCTCTGACCCTGTCCCTGCCTGTCCTCCGTCCGTCGGGGGTGAGACTGCTCTTGGCTGTACTGCCCTTGGCTGTGACGTTCTTGAGGACAGACATGAGGAGCTGGAGTGCCTTGCTGCCGCTTCACCCCATCACGCGACCATGCTGCTTGCCCCTGAGGGAGACCCGGATGCACTTGACATCCCCACCCCGCGCTCCTACAGGGAGGCGATTTCGGGTGAGTACTCCTCTCAGTGGCAGACAGCCATGGACGCAGAGATGGCTTCCTGGAAGTCCACAGGCACCTACGTCGACGAGGTTCCCCCACCTGGGGCGAACATTGTCAGTGGCATGTGGATTTTCAGGGTGAAGCGGCCGCCGGGTTCTCCGCCTGCCTTCAAGGCACGTTACGTTGCTCGAGGCTTCAGTCAGCGTGAGGGGGTCGACTTCTTTCAGACCTTCTCCCCCACCCCGAAGATGACCACTCTTCGGGTGTTGCTACACGTTGCAGCTCAGCGTGACTACGAGCTGCACTCCCTCGACTTCTCGACAGCTTTCTTACAGGGTAGCCTTCACGAGGCCATCTGGTTGCGCCATCTACAGGGCTTCACTGGGTAGTTTCCTGAGGGTACCCAGTGGAGCCTACGGCGACCAGTGTACGGCCTGCGTCAGGCGCCCCGCGAGTGGCACGACACACTGAGATCTACGCTGGGGCCATGGCTGCACAGGAGCTACGCTGGCTGACCTACCTGCTGACCGACTTGGGGGAGCGGCCTCGTTCTCCTCCAGTTCTGTACGTCGACAACAAGGCAATGCTTGCCTTGTGTCGTGAGCAGAGACTGGAGCACAGAACGAAGCACATTGCTCTGCGCTACTTCCTTGCGCGTGAGCTGCACCAGCGTGGTCAGCTGCGCCTTGCTTTCGTGGCCTCTCGGGCCAACACTGCTGATGTCTTCACCAAGGCCCTTGGGGCTGGTGATCATCAGCGTTTCTGCACTGCTCTTGGGCTTGTGCCCACTCTGCCTCACCTGCTGGTTGCTTGACTTGCTCTTGTTGTACACTGCTATATATCTATATACCTGCATGTTTGCTCTTGCTAGGTTGTGATCAGTGTACTGCCTTGCTTTTATAAATCTGCATGTGAACTGGCCTTTTGGCCGCCTGCTTGTGCTCAGATTGTGTGGTGTCCTTGAGATCCAACCTGGGCTTTGCCTTGCTTGTTCTCTTGCTTGACTGGTCTTGTGACCAATGTTAGGTTTGGCTATCCCCTACTTCACCTATGGGGGTGTGTCAAAACATATTGTTCTGTTCATCTTACTCTAGGTTGTGTAGGGGTCACACCTTAGAGGGTACAACCCAACTCTCTCGACATCCTTGTACCCCCTCCCTCTTACCTAATCAACCATCCTTCCTTGTATTCTAACAAATCTGCAATGTCAGGTGGAATTGTTTTGTGATTGGACGAAGTTGTTGTGCTCTGACGGCACAAATCTGTGGTGTCAGGGCGATTTTGCTGTGATTGGGCGAAATTTTGGGCTGTAAGGCGCGGATTGATGTGTCAAGGCGATTTTGCGTTGAAAATGCAAATCTGCTGTGACCCGTGAAGTCCGAATCACCAGTCATGATTGTGTTTGCACTCTCAATGATCAGAGTACACTCCCAGAAAGCTCTGAAATTTCAGAGTTTGCCTTAAAAAAAGTCTGAAACTTCAGAATTGAGGCACTAATACCGTGTTCTCCCGAACATAACACCCGGGGGTATTGTGATAACCACAGGGAAAAAAGGGTGGGGGTCCTCTCAACGGAAAATCCTATATAATACCCGGGTCTTATTATATGGTATATGTTTTTTAAGCAGAAATGATGTGAAACAAAATCAGCTACAATGCCTTCACTGTTAGATTGTTGTTCAGAGCCGCAAAACCGAGTATATGAGGAAAACGTGGCCCCCCACTGGAATCTACCACATGGCAAATTCAAGTGGTCAACTCTGGCACCTGATTGGGTGAAATCAGAGCCAGCCTTGCGCAGCGAGGGTGCATGCAACCACTGGGGCCGGAATCGCGCACGGTGATGTGCTGTCACTATACCAGTCAGATTGTTGACTGGTTTGGTCACGTCCATGTGCCTCAAGGTCTAACTTTCTCCTCGTACAGCGGTTCCACTGCACGATACTAAGCACTGCTCGGCAGGCTGTGAGAGCGCCTCCGTCCAACTCTAGAAAAATTGTTGTTTATAGGCCTTCCTTCCATGGCGAGTGACACAAATCTGCCGTAGAGAATGGCTTCCTCTCCCGATTCAAGCAGTACTGTAGTTAGGCGCCAATGGCCATGTACCACTCCTTCTGCCGCTGCTGCACGCGCACGGACGTCGCCTCGCCCCATCTTGCCACAACCGTCTCCTCCCGTTAGTGCTTCTGCCGGGGATGAACCGAGTAGTAGCTCCGATGCTGCTCGCCCTCCCCTTCCTCGAGTGGCTATCCCCACTTTCCCGGAGCGTAAGCGCCCGCAGGGTCAGCTGAAGCGCAACGCGGACGCTCAGCCACCATCCCCTCGCCATCACATGACGAAGAAAGTCCGTAAGGCGATCACCGTGAAGGAGAAGCTGCACTGGTTGAAGATGCAAGACTCTCAGCCCGACCTGGGGAATCGCGTGTTGGCGAAGATCGCGAAGGTGCAGCCCTGCCAGGTCCGCGAATGGAGGACGATGAAGGAGCGGCTGGAGGTCGCATCTAGCTGCCGCCGTCGCCTCATGGGATCTGGCCGCAAGGCGAAGTACCCGTTCATGGAACGGGCTGTCTACCGTCACTTCCTTAACCACCGGGCGAAGGGCCTCGCCGTTTCTGTCCGCATGCTCCAGCAGTGGAGCTCCAAGTACATGAAGCACCGCATGCCCTCGGTGAACTGGCGCGCTTCGTTCCGCTGGGCGGCGCGTTTCCGCGCGCGCTGGCACTTGGCAAGGCGGGTGAAGACGAAGATGGGGCAGAAGTTGGCGGCCGGTAAGTGAAGCAACCGTGCGCCTGGGATTACGTGGTCGACGTTTACCTTACGCGTGCCGTGGCTTTGTTTGCAGATTGCAAGGCCAAGGTGGAGTCATTTTGGGAGTTTGTGCGCCAGATGCGCACTCTGCACGACTACCCACTCCACCTCATCGTGAACGCGGACCAGACTCCGCTCTTCCTGGAGATGCCGGCGGAGCGCACGATTGAAATGAAGGGTTCGCGGACGGTTCGCGTACGCAGTGCAGGCTACGAGAAAGAGCGTGGTACTGTCATGCTGGCAGTAACGGCGGGAGGGCTCAAACTACCTCCGTACGTCGTGTTCAAGCGAAAGACCATCCCGAAAGTGCCCATCCCTGCCGGTGAGTGCACCACACCTATGGTTTTTACCGTGCTCTTGCCTGTCACGCGTCGCAACTTACTAACACAACTCTCGCGTTGTGCCGATGGCAGGTGTGGTGGTCCGTGCACAAGAGAAGGGGTAGATGGACGAATCTCTTGTGCAAGATTGGATCACCCAGGTGTTGGTGCCGTTTCTGAAGCCCCTGCGGGAAACCACCGGCCGGCGCAGGGAGGCGATGGTGGTGCTCGACTCCTACCGCGGCCACTTGACGGAGGCCGTCGGTCAGATGATGCTCATGTTTCGGTTGTCAAGGGCGGTCATCCCTGGAGGCTGCACACCGCTTGTGCAGCCGCTAGATGTGTCGGTTAACCGCGCGTTCAAGTGCGGGGTGCGTTCCCGCTACAGCACATGGTTCGAAGATGACGGCATCAACCAAACCACACGCGCAGGTGAGTTGACGCCATGAATTCCGTTCGAGCAGCATCGTTCTAACGTCAGCGCACGCACTGCAAGTACACGCTCTTGAATCCCTTCCCTTCCCTTCCCTTCCCTTCCCTTCCCTTCCCTTCCCTTCCCTTCCGACAGGCAACCTGAAGAAGCCGCCTGCGGACTTGGTTCTCCGCTGGATCGACGAGTCCTGGGAAGCTGTCCCAGAGGATCTTGTGAAGAAAGCGTTCGTCACCTGCGGGATCTCCACCGCCATAGATGGCAGCGAGGACCACCTCATCCATGCCACATGCGGGACAAGGGTGAGGTGGAGGTACTTGAAGACGTTAACGAGCTGGTTGACGACGAGCTCGTCGTCAACCCCTTCTACGCCGAGGCCCCCGTGCCGGCCGAGGAGCTGCAGCCGGCAGAGGAGGATGTGGCCGCAAAGGAGGAGGCGGAGGCGGCGGCGGCGGCGGAAGAGGAGTGGAACACGCCTGAAGAAGGGGAGGAGGCGGGAGTGTACAACGAAGACGATGAGGAGTGGTGGCGTGCCGGCCGCTATGACGGAGAGGAGTGTGAGGAATGGGTCGCTGGGGACGATGAGGACTAGATAGCACCAGAAGTAATGTAGTGCAAAGTCATAATACTCCATATGTGGTGATGTTTCTGTTGTTTAGGTGAAACTGTTGGGTCTAGGTGGTGGCATATGCTTCAGTATTAGATTGCACCCCTCACTGTGTTAAATTTAAGACAAATATGCAATTTTGCCGCCCATAACACCCTCCCCCCGGGTCTTATATAGAATCACCCCAAAAGGGGGGGTATAGTACAAACGAGGTCGGCTATAGCACCCCCCCCGCACAAGCTACCCGGGGGTGTACTATTACGGGGGGGTGTTTTGTCCGGGTGAATACGGTAAGTCTAAAATTTACAGGGTACACTGAAAAAAAAAAATCTGAAATATGAGAGTTTTTTGGCCAAATCCGAGAAAAAAGGTATGACTTCTAAGGGCCTGGTCGAGCACGTAATGCCGTTCCGCATGTTGACTTCGCGAAACCCTCCTGGACGACATTCGCCTACGCGTCGAATTTCGCAGTCAAGCGACTTGCGTCGACCAGCTCGAGGATGCTCCGTCGAGCCGCATTCGCCTAGGCGAGCACGCAGTCTGCGCGACTTCTGCGCGCCCCCGACCGCGAAGTCTGCTTCGGCCAAGCGAGAGCGGGGTCATTTCCCGTCAACACTCGCACACTGCATTGTTCGCCACACCCAGATTCTCCAAAACAACAATCGCACAGTAGCGTGACAAACTATATTTTACTGTACACCGCCTCCTGAATTCGCATTCGCCCCGGCCATATTCTCAATGTTAGGGTACATTCCGCTGTGGACCATGTCCCAATCGATGTGTCCCAATCGTTTCTACCGCACTGCATCGTATTACACCAAATTGCACCCTAGTTTCGAAATTTTCGCGTCTCTGGTTTAGTTCGGTTCGGAGCGGTACACTCGATTAGGACACATCGATTGGGACAGTGTCCACAGCGGAATGTACCCTTAGTCTCTCGCCAACACTTTTTCAAGTTCACGATTTATGAAAAAACACCATACTGACTTCGGGCTTTATCTGCCAAACCCAAGTGGATATCACAAATCATACAGGTAACTACGGTACCGTACAAGCAATCAGGCAATAAGCAGTACGGCATTGATTGCAAACAATATTGTAATATTCCATAATATAGTGTGTATGCGTCCCACCCCATACGACCACTGCTGTTGCTGGTGACACTGCGTCCTCCCTGCAAGCAACCCCACTGCAACCACCGCAGCCAGCTGCTGCAGTTGATGCCTCTGCTTTCCCACCATCCTCTGCCTCCGCCGCAACAACCCGTTTACTGCTGCTGCTGCTGCTGCTGCTGCTGCTGCTGCTGCTGCTGCTGCTGTTGCTGCTGGTGATACTGCGTCCTCCCTGCAAGCATCCCAGCTGCAACCACCGCAGCCAGCTGCTGCTGTTGATGCCTCTGCTGACGCACCTTCTTCTGCTTCCGCTGCTGTGACCCTCCCCCTGCCCCTCCCCCTAACCCTCCCCCTAACCCTCCCCCTCCTCCTCCCCCCCCCCCCTCCCCCTCCCCCTCCCCCTCCTCCTCCACCACCCCCGGCCCCCCCGACTGCACCTCCACCGGCTGACTCTTGTTGTGCCACAGCAGCAGCAGCAGCAGCATCCCTAGGGGAGAGCAGGACCAAGGTGCTGCCGACAGCATGAGGGTTGGAGCCTTGTATGCCAGGTTGGGCCCAAGTGAGCGGCTGCATGGGTGCATTGGACACACCACCTTGGCTGAAACCACCTCCCTGCTGCTGCTGCTGCTGCTGATCACACTCCTGCTGCTGCTGCTGCTGCGGCTGCATCACAGTAAGAGGGCTGAAAGCCAAGGGGTAAGGGTGGCCTGATGGCGAGGATGACACAGCAGTGGCAGTAGTGGCAGGGTGCATCCCCGCATACATGTACGGAGAGCCATGCCCCCCATGACCACCCGTGTGACCTGAGTGCTGCTGGTTTGGATGGCTGGGATGGCCCGGATGGTTTGGATGGCTGGGATGCATGCTTGGGTGAACGTTCAAATACATGCTGGCCTGTTGCGGCATGCTGGCATGTTGCGGCGTGTTAGGATGCTGGGGCATGTTGGCATGCTGCTGCGGCATGTGATGCCCTATCGCGCCAGGCATGGCATAGTGTGCTGCCATGCCAGGCGGCATGGGCGGTGGCGGATACCCATGCATGCCCGCTGGTATGGAATACATGAAGTGAGGGGGGGGTGGCATGGCGTGGTGCTGGGGGTGGGAGGAGGAGGGGTGTGGAATGGCATGGTAGTGGGTATGGTTTGGTGGGGGATGATGGGCCAGATGGGAAGGGGGAGGCGGGACTGAATGAGTGCCTGTATGCGGGTGTGACTGTAATGGGACGCTAGCATGACCTGCCACAGGTGCAACCGCAGAAGCGGCAGGTGGTGGCACTGGAGAATGGGCTGGGGTGTATGGAAGGCCGTGGGACGCGCTTGGTACGGCACCCGCACCCATGCTAGTCTGCATTTTACTCCGCCCCTGCTGCCTCTGCCTCTGCTGCTGTAGAGACACATAGCTGGCGCTGCGAGAGATGGGCGCAGCGGCTGACACACAACCAGCACCAGCACCATCACCAGCAGCAGTGGCAGCAGCAGCAGCAGCACCACCACCACTATCACCATCACTATCACTATCACCACCACCACCACCACCATCATCACCACCACCATCACCAGCATCACCTCCCCTCTCATCCACCTCCTCTGTCTCCCCACACTCCTCTTCCTCCTCCACCTCCCCACACACATCCTCCAAGTCCCCACACACGTCTACAATCACCTCCCTCGTCCTCTGCCTCTTCCTCCTCCCCCTCTCCTGCCCCGACGACCCACACGGCCCACCTAAAGCAGTGGTTATCCCAGGTGGATTCTCAGGTGCCGGTGCAGTCCCAGGTGCAGCTGCCCCAGACATACTCTGAGATGCAAACTGGGCGGCAGAAACATCAGGTGCAACAGAAGAGGTATCAGTTACACGAGCAGCAGCAGGAGAAATCCCAGGTGCAGCTCCAGGCGGGTCCATCGCAGTTGCGGGGGATGGTGGTGCGGAGAAAGCAGGGGAAGCGGATGGGGATGGTAGAGGGCGGAGGAGGCGGGTGGAGGAGAGGGGGGAGCAGACCAGGCGCGGAGGGGCCTTGGGCTGCTTAGCTGACACTACTAAGGGCTGATTGGGTGCAGCTGGGGTGGGTGCAGCTGGGGTGGGTGCAGCTGTGGTGGCAGTGAGTTGGGGTTGGGGGGGTTGGGGGGAGCTGGATATGAGCGAAGACGAATTCGGTGCAATCTCTCCGGGGACACCAGCAGCACCAGTGGCAGCAGAACCGCTTGCAGCAGAGGGGGTAGCAGTTGCAGCTGCAGTGGCAGCAGCATCAGGAGCATCGGCAGCAGCAGTGGCAGCAGCGGCGGCAGAAGCATGAGCATGAAGAGGAGTTGGTGGGAAGTAGTGAGGAGGGGGGTGAGAAACGTAGCAACCATATGCAGCAGCAGCAGCATCGTCAGCAGCAGCAGCAGCAGCAGCCGTTGATGCAGCACCATAGCGGGCATCCAACGGCTTCTCCATACTCGAGCTCACCCCTAGGGAGATCTCCCCACTGTGCCCTGCCAACCCACCAACATAGCCAGCAGCAGCAGCACCGACAGCAGAAGCACCACCAGCAGCAGCATCGGCAGATGGACCTGCGTCAGTTTCCCGGCCTATCACCATTCCTTCCCCACCCTCCCCTCCTTGCCCCACTCCTCCCCCTGCTCCCGCATTGAGAGCCCCAGCGGGGTCAGCAGACGTGACTGCCCCACCGGCAGTGGACGATCTACTGGCAACCACCATGCCACTCGCCTTCGCCTGCTCCTCTATGATTTTCTGGAGGTATTTACCCTGCGCCTCAATCCTCAGCTGCAGCTGCCGCTGCACCTCGAGCTGCTCGTGCAACCGCCTCTGCACCTCCATCTGCATCCTGAGTGCCTCTGTGATCGGGATGTTGCGAATGCTGCAAGCGGGGAGGTAGGGAGGGAGAGAAAGCAGGTAAGCACACAAGGAGTGGATCAGACCTTGCTCCTGCAGCTGCAGCTGCATGGGAAGGCGCTTCTGCATGTCCCTCGGCGTTCAGGGTGCTTAGATGAATAAAAGGAGGTGATTTTGAGCCTATTCAAATCAAATGATACGCTGCACATACTGCAGTCCACGAAGCAAGCAGTGAGAGGGAAGGGGGAGAGGGAGCCGGAACATAAGAACTGAATAAGACATGTAGTCAGCAACAGGCGAAGCAAATGTAAAGCAAGGATGAGACATGGTTTTAGATAAAGTGGAGGAGGGGAGGGGAGAGGGGGGAAGGGAGAGTGGGGAAGGGATGGGCGGTGGTGGTGTGGGTTAGGGAGTGAAGGACATACACAGCAGGGTCGAGCGACGAAGGCTCGCCGTCTGTAGCGTCAGGCTGGAAGCCCAGAGAGCCAGCAGCCGCAGCGGCAGCCGCAGCCGCAGCGGTAGTGGCGGCCACAGCAGCAGCACCAGAAGTAGCAGGAGCAGCAGCAGTAGCAGCAGTAGCTGCAGCGCCGGCCGCGGTAGCGGCGGCGGCGGCGGCAGCAGCAGGAGGGAAGGGGGGCGGAGCTAGTGTGAGGGGCGCAGGTGCAAAGACTCCAGAGGCAATGCGCTTGGGGGCTTTCTCTGCCCTCTCTGGTCTTGGCTCTGGGAGGGACAGCAGGAGGGATAGGGCGGAAAGGGACAGACAGGTGAATTGCTTGGAATTCTTCGCATCAGCAGCAACAGCAGCAGCGTCGGCTGCGAAACGGCGGTGCCGTCGCCACTGCTGCTGCTGCCGCCGTACAGAGTAAGGTGCAGTAGATTTGAATGGAAAAAAATAAATGAAGAACGCCCCGGAAGCAAAACGCTTGGGGGCCATCTCTGCCCTCTCTGGCTTTGGCTCTGGGAGGCACAGCGGGAGGGATAGGGAGGAAAGGAACCGGTGAATCATCCAGACTTAAGGGGCAGTAGATTTGAATTGAATGAAGAAAATACCTGCAACATGGATGACGCGAGGTGATTTCAGTCTGCCAGGGGAAAAATAAGGGGGATTATGGACAATAGACACTCTGTAGATTCCGCTGCTCCCTGCACTCTTAAATTTGTGAAGTCTCAAACAAAACTACACACCCTGCAGTGCAGGTTTGTCAGAACGTAGGCTCGGGAGAGCGTAGGCTTGGCAGAGAGCTGGCTCAGCAGACTAGTTCAGGAATGTATGCTCTGTGGCTCCGTGGCCAGTTCAGCTGTTGGTGTATTCTATGAACTTACCCTTTTCTCGGGGTGTGGAAGGCAAAGGATCTGGAAGGTACTTGGCGAGTCGATACTTCTGCAGAGGGACAAAATATGCAGGGGGGGAGGGGGGAAAATGGGGAGGGGGGAGGGGGGAAAAGGGGGAGGGGGGAGGGGGGGAGGGGAGAGGGGGGCAGGGGGGAAGGGGGAGAAGCACGAAATTTTAAAGCGGCCCAAGAACTTTGAGTCGACTAAGAGATCTTCACCTGCACGTGGCTCTTGACGTGGCACATTGTGATTCGTGAGCCCTTGCATACACGCCCATGCCATGGCATGGCATTCAGTGCAACCCAGTCCCATGATACCACCGCACCAACCATACATGCATGCATGCATGCCTGACGGCTGAAGATGGTTCGTGTGACACACACAACTACGCACCTGCATCTGGCTCTTGACGTGGTAAATGGTGACGTGAGCACCTACATACCCATGACCAAGTCCAATGATATCACCACACCAACCAGACATACATGCATGCATCATGCATTTCTATAGATGACGATGGTACTGGCACATGCATGCATCATGCATTCCTATAGATGACGATGGTACTGGCACATGCATGCATCATGCATTCCTATAGATGACGATGGTACTGGCACATGCATGCATCATGCATTCCTATAGATGACGATGGTACTGGCACATGCATGCATCATGCATTCCTATAGATGACGATGGTACTGGCACATGCATGCATCATGCATTCCTATAGATGACGATGGTACTGGCACACGCACCTGCAGGTGGCTCTTGACGTGGTAGATGGTGAGGCCTTGCACGCCCATCACTCGCAGAACACCCTTGGGCGTCGCCTCTGCACGAAACGGGAGGGGGCATGGGGAGAACAATTGGAACGGGAGGGGGGGGGGGGGGCATGGGGAGAAGAGAGAGGGAAAAGAGGGAGAGGTCAGTGGAAACGGGAGCAGAACTGGCAGCGATAGAGGGAGGCGGGGGGCATGGAGGGAATAAATGCCCCCCTTTCCATCCAGCCATGACGTACTGTCATGTCAGCCAACAATTCGGAAGAAAGAACGGACGGAGGCAAAAGAAGAAGAAAGAAAGAAAGAAACTTACTGTCAGCCCCTCCCGGGTCCGCGACTGCCTCCAGCGTCCACCGCAGCCTGTGCTAGGGGAATAAGACATGCACAACACAACCCCCTCTTTCCAACAGTCACATCACACGGGCAGACAAGACAAGCAGACTTACTGTCAGCCCCTCCGAGGTTTGCGACGGCCTCCACGAATTTCTCATGCAGCTCTGGCGTCCACCGCAGCCGGTGCTTGCCGGAACTCCCCCCATCGCTGCTGAACCCGCCGCCTCCCCCGCCTCCTCCCCCCATGCTGAACGCCCCTCCCCCGCCCACGCTGCTCGTCGCCCCCCCTTCCCCTCCGCGCCCTCCCAGTGACCCCGCGGGCGCCACCCCTCCCAGTGACCCCGCGGGCGCCACCCCTCCGCCCGAAGCAGCAGCTGCAGCAGCGGTGGCGGCAGCAGCAGACGCGGCAGCAGACGCAGCGGCGGCGGCAGCGTCCGTCCCCGGGGCAAGCAGATTCATCCCCCCTATAGTGTCGATCCGGCACATGCTTACCCCATCCATTCCACCACCACCGCCACCCCCGGCCCCACCCTTGCCCTGCATCCCAGCAGTGGCACCAGCGGCACCAGCAGCGGCTATGGCAGCAGTGGCAGCAATGGCAGCGTTACCATTGACTGCTGCTCCATGTGACGAAGTTCCCGTCCCGTCTCCTCCTCCGCCTCCGCGTCCCGCTCCCCTTTCCCCTCCCCCTCCCCCTTCCCCTCCCCCTCCCCCGCGCCCTCCGCCCCCTCCTCCCACACCACCGCTGTTCCCAGCAGTGGAAGCAGAGGATGCGGGCGCAGCCACGCGGAGGGCGCAAGGCATCCCCCCCAGCGACAGGGGCAGCGGCGGCAGGGGCAGAGGGTCCCTCCCCCCTGGGTGGATCTGTGCATACATGCCTGGCACCGCGACCAGGGAGAACGGGAGGTCTGGGGAGGAGTAGGGGTTGTGGAAGGGCGGGTATGGCGGCCTGGACAGCGGTGAGGCGGGGAGGTGAGATGGGGGTGGGAAGCTGGGGTTGGGTGTGCTTGCGTATTGTGCCTGGTGCGGCTGGTACTGCTGCTGCTGCTGCTGCTGCTGCTGCTGCTGGTGATGGTGGTGATGATGGTGCTGCTGCTGCTGCTGCTGCTGCTGGTGCTGCTGCGGCAGCTGCTGCCGCTGATGGCTATCTTGGCTTGCAGAACGGTTTTCCCGAGGGGTCGGGCGTTTCGCAAACAGGCCGTGTCGCTCCTGCTGCTGCTGATGATGATGCGGTTGCTGCTGCTCCTGATGCTGCTGGTGCTGCTGATTTTCTTCTTGCTGCTGCTGGTGATGTTGGTGTAGCTGCTGGTTCTGCTGTTGCTGTTGCTGCTGCTGCTGCTGCTGCTGCTGCTGCTGCTGCTGCTGCGGTTGCGGGTATCGGAGTTCCCAGGGAAGGGAGGACGACGAGCCCTGCTGCCCTCCCGCTTGAGCTGTCTCCAGCTTGGACGGCACCACCACCTGTAAAGGCAGGACAGCAATGAAAATGAAGCACGA